CCCCCATGCCCAGTCCCCCAAGATTTCTCTACTGGAGATGGATTCCGAAACTGATAGTGGTGCAGGAACAAGGAAACACTAGCCATTTTCTGAAAATAGATTGTTCCTTGAATAATAATTGCTTGAAGGGCTAAGACACTTGATTAGGAAGTAAAGGCTATGCTAAGGTTTCTTTTTATGCTGCAGATGATTAAATTTACATTTCCTACCTCCTAACATCAAACCATAACTACAAAGCTATTAAGCACGCTTCTGTTTGAAGCATAGTCATTGTGCACCCTGGAACAGAAGTATGCTGTCAGAAACTGGGCAAGTAAGAGAGAACTTCGCTATATTACATAGTGATTTGGAGAATCATCGTGAGGCAGAGTTCTGGATTTTTGTCTTTCTTTGTTGGACTACACATTTTTTTAATCCTCTAAGTATTTAATAAAACATGAATAAAAACTAGTACTGTACTTGCAAACATAATATAATTAAAAATACATAATTCTCATTTTGGACTTGTTAAATATAGTTTCATGTGTTTTACTGCAAAATCACCCCACATGAAATGGGTATATAAATTAAGTAACTGTCATAATAAAAAATTTAATTATTACTTCCAGTAATTTGATTTCTTCAGCAAGCTACTTGGTGTAAACGTTACTTTTTGTGATGAAGGGACTGATAAGCTCAGTCAGTTGTTTTTGCCAACGCAGCTTGTGTTTTGGCTGCAAATGCACACCCGTATCTTGTTCCTGTCCCCTGCTTGCTTTTTCTTTATGTAGCCCAAATTCCCAGTCCCTGCCACCTGAACCCTTGTTTCTGATCCAGGAGTACCTTTTGCAGTACAGGCTTCCTGAAGTTCCCTCCTGCTGACAAGCACGTTCTTTTCTTATCCTTTGATTTTATACTTGTTTTGGCTTCCTGATCACACTTGATCTGATCATCTCAACTCTAAGTCATGTTTTTAATCAGTCTTCTATCTTGATAGAATGGTTGGCCCATCACAGCCACAGCATCTAGTGGCCATACTAGAAGTCAGCTTGGCCCTTATTAGGAGCATTGATTAGACATAATCCAGTTACGCCTTACTAACATTGCAAATTTTTTTTTCCATAATAAAGTCAATGTAGTATATGGAAAACACATGGGAACAGAAGATCAACCGGTTATAACCTCTGTATCATAACTGGCTTTTATGAAGACCCAAAACTATACACTGGATACAGGTCAAGTCACAATCTGAGAAACATGACACCCCCCAATGTGGCTCAATTTTTTTTTTTTTTTTTTTAAGAAAATCAGACGATTTAGAAACTTCCCTATCCAGTACTATTTAAAAATAAAGGTTGTTGATAACTAACAACATGTTCAAATACCTTTATATTTGAAAACTGCTAAGGCATAAAGTGGAGAAACACA